CTCTATGTTTGATTTAAATGTGCAGGTTCTCACCCATGTTTTTGTGGTGCTACTCTGTTCTGCAGATGGCCAAAAGTCATGGCAACATTTTCACATTATGGCTTTCAGACCTTCCTGTCATTGTCCTGCAAGGCTTCCAGGCGGTGAAGGAGGGTATGACTGCCCATCCTGAAGAGGTGGCTGGAAGGCCAACAAACCTGGTCTTTAGGATGTTGACTGGAGGAAATGGTAATTATCTGGTAATTATGTGATCTATGCCTGTTTTTGGAAAATGATTTAGAACCTCAAGATGCATAATTTGCAGTGTAAATACGTATATACACACATTTATATATATATGTATGTTTGGTGAGTTCATGAAACACCTCTTTTAGGTGAGTACTATCTGAACAGTAATGGCAGAGCATAGCTATTGTAAGAGTTCCTGTACAGGAGCTAAATGACTAGAAAGGAGGGGAAAGATGAATATTACAGGACTGCATTATATATATATATATAAGTGGATATGGATATGTTGCTGCTATGGATACATTGGTCATATATAGGAGGGACTGCACCATAGCACCCACCTGTATTTTCTTGAACACTGAACTTTCTTTGCCTAACCTTCCAAAACAGGAACATCTATATCTTCCTTAGGTTTCAGTCATTTTTAAATGTCAAATTAAGCAAAAATAGCAACATCATGATAGAAAAACGGAATATGCCTAATATAGCTTAGCAAATAAGTTTGGAAAACAAGCAAAACTTCTAGTGAGTATCTAACACTGATCAGAGCTTTTCAGCCCGTGGACTTACACCCGCTCAACTGATTTCTGAAGTTGGCTTCAATTCATATAATTTTACCTCTCAGAAACTAGTGAGGAAAATGGGAAAAATATATTTCAAAAATGGGACATTATATGAAGATACAATTCTTTCTGTATATGTCATTTTGCATTTAGTAAATATTAATGTGTCATATAATAGATTCATTATAATCCTAGGTGTTATGTTCTCTAATGGTCATCTCTGGAAGCAACAGAGGCGCTTTGGAATCATAACAATGAGGAAACTGGGAGTAGGGAAAAGGAGTCAGGAGCGCCAACTACAAGAGGAGGTCCGTCATCTGGTGGAATACTTCCAGAAAACAGATGGTATGTGGTTTTTAATAATCCTTGTACTTCCTCTGCAAGTCCATCTGTGCAATGAGTGTAGCAGTGCTGACTGATTTAGCTTAGGAGTGGGTGACCTTTAGCTTTTGAAATTATTTTGTTACTTAAAATGAGTTAAAAAAGGACCTGTGGAGCTGAGTGTCAAGAGCCTGTATTTTGTGATCTGTGTGAGACACTTCCTTGCACAAGTGCTATGTGTGAATCCTGAGTGTATGAATTTAGAACAGAGACTCCAGGCTCCCTGTCTGTTAGTGTTAGCGCTTAGCCAGTTCTACATTACTTCTGGTCACAGAATCTGGATAACAGCAAACACTAACACCTCATATTCCTCTATAGAAAAGAAAAACAAGGCACAAAATATAAAAAGCCTTGGCCAAGGCTCTGCAATCCCATGGCTCTGCTCTGTCAATAGCTGTGGGAAAAATTGACCTCATGAGGCTTGTGGCAACCTCTTTAATTAGAGGCAGTTTGCACTGCTGAAGAGTAGGTTTATAGCTACTCTCAATTTTTCAGGTATAGGAGGTCCCTTTTAAATTCAGTTGTTCATTCATACACTGTCTCAGATCACCATTTTTCTATCCAGAATACACAAACATGAGATCTATTGATCCAAGATGTTATAAAATCTGTGTGTTTTTGTCACAGTGTCTGAGTGGTTTTGTTACTTTTGCTATTTTTGTTCCTATGAGCAGTCTCCACTCTTCTGAATGTCTTTTTTTTTTTTTTAGGTATCCAAAGTTAAATTTTACTTTTTTTTTTTTTCCTGGTAAATTGCAATTTTCCAAGCAGCAAGTATTTGATAAAATGTTATCTTTCTGTTCAGGGGGACAAGCAGGAACAATTAGTGCTATTCATTGTGTTTACAGCAAAACCTCTGGATCCCACTGTGCCTCTTGTTCATGTTGTCTGTAATGTGATTTGTGCTATGGTTTTTGGACATCGCTTCTCTATAGAAGATGAAAACTTTCACCACTTGGTTGAAGCCACTGATGATATAGCAGCATTTGCGAACAGCATCTCTTTTTTTGTAAGGAAAATTATTATTTGTATCTGTCTTTTATATAGAGAGACAATGAAAAAGGCAACTTTCTAGATGGTTTTATAACAAGAATAGATACCAATGCATTCTGGTCCTACAGAATTTGAGGATTAATTTGATACTTTTGGTAAAAAGATCAAAATGCTTTTAATTTTTCTCTCAGAAGATGCAGGTGAAATAATCGTTAAGCTATCATCTAATCAAGGCAAATGAAGGATCAATTATTTCTGAATTACTCTCAGTAGATATTTGTAGAGCTTGTTCTTCACAACTATATTAATGGTGTGTCTACAGCCAACCAAAGCATTATAGTCTAGTGTTTAACTCTATCCTACTGTCTACAGTGCTTCCATAGAGACATAAAATCATTTAATAATTGCCTGTTCTAACTTATTTTCCTAGAGAGTGGACAGATAACTGTATGTAAAATTTTGCAGTGGGACAAAAAAAGAAACAAATAAGGAATCTGAATACCTTTGTGGGAAGATGTACATTTGTACTTTAGCTGCCATTTAAATAGGAGGACCATGGAGTTATAACCTAATACACAATCTCACTTATCCTTTTTACATTATATTGGAAAACCTGTAGCATAAAACTAAGGGAAATTCTGCTTTGGGAAAAAAATGGGATTAAGAAAGGTTTTAATGGATCACTGGGTGAAGATGTAGTAATCAGAGTCTTTCATTCATTTTTCCACTACCCACAGGCCTATGTTAGGATTCAGATTTAGTTGGCTAATCTCAGTAATGCACAGCATCTCTTAAATCTCTCTTCTATAGGTATATGAAATGTTTCCCCGGTTTGCAACACTTTTCCTAGGATCATGCAGGAAGACCCAGTCTGCCATAAGTTTTCTGAATGCTTTAGTAACAAAAGAGATTGAAAGACACAAGGAAAATAGAAAAACAGATGAAAATCGAGATTTTGTTGATTTCTATTTGGATGAGATAGCCAAAGTGAGTATCTCTGCTTTCAACTTATCTTTGGCTGCATTGAGCAACTAGGGATTTTAAGTGCCACTATGATTATGATAGTATCTAAAACCAAAAAAAAAGGAATATACAATCTGTCCCTAGAAAAGCTTACAGTTGGATATTTAAAAAAGAAAATTTGAAATGATTTTATGGCAGGAATAGAAACAATAATGTTAGCGGATTGACAGTATCAGATCTGCATATGATAAGATACAAGTAGGAATGACTATTATGTTGGGACTCACAGCAAGAAAGGAAAGGAGAAAAGCTCACTAGCTTTGTCACTGCTGAAGAACAAAATGTGTATAAGGATGTTATATTATTCAAAAAGCTTAATTTTCTAGTTCTTTCTACTGTTTTAATCAGTATATATTCTTGTGATGCACTTCTTTTTGTGCCTTAATCTCATGTTTTTCATTCATATCTGCAGACTAAAGGAGACGCTGATGCAACATATGATGAAGCAAACTTGACTCAGACTGTTTTTGACCTCTTTCTGGCAGGTACAGAAACTACAGCTACCACTTTGCGTTGGGCATTTCTTTATATGGTAGTTTATCCAGAGATTCAAGGTGAGTGTGCCTAAACAATTCTGCTACTTTTTAGAAAACATAAAGGCTAAAATATTAGTAGAGCTTGTTCAAAGAACAGCAGAGGCAGAAATTAGTAACTAATGAATCAGATGAATTGAATCATATTTTTGATATATATCTTTCTTAACATGAAGCTTAATCATTTTAGGTGACACTGATAATACTGTTTAGACTTCTGCTGAGCACAAAACGGAGTCTTTATGTGACTAGTCAAAGTATAGACCATCCTCTTTGATCCATGACTGCTTCTCTTTGATGTGCTCCAGCTTCTTTGCAGGTCAATGCTGCTGTCAATGCAGGTGTTTCATAGAATAAACACACATTAACTTAAAATCTCATACATACATAACTATATGTATGTATATATATACACAGATATAAAAGAAAGACTGAGATGAGTAGTTGAAGCTGTGTGCTTTTAATAATGATATTTACAGAAAAAAAGATATATATAAGTTGGCAGGGTAAAAATAAGTGGAAAGGAAGAACTGAGCATGTTGGATAACAAAAGATTAAAAGGTATGTAAATCACTTCAAAGGTTTCACATTTGAGAGTCTTAGGTGAGCTGGGGACCATATGCACAAGAAGACTGGCAAGAAGAGAGTGGTAGGAGTAGTAAGGAGAAAGGATCTCCTAGTACATGATTAATACTTTATTTTATGGTTTGCTCCCAGAAGCTTCATAAATAAATAAATAAATAAAAGCCTTTTTATAGATTAACCAAAGCAGCGTATGAAATAAGAGCCTAAGGACCTTGTTCTTATAACAGGACTTTGTCTCCTACTATTACTTTTAAAATCTGCTTGGATATGCAATGTTTAAACAAATTCAATGGCAAATTTTATCTATGTCAACTGTATTGAAATTTGAAGGGATTCTTATTTTTATAAAACAAAAATTTCATTTTGTACGATGTTGTTATTATCAAAAGTAATAGGATAAATGTATGAATACAGAGCTCATAGATTGTCTACTGTATATTTAAAAATGAATATTTCTCCTTAGAGAAAGTCCAGAAGGAGCTGGACACTGTTCTGGGTCCCTCCCATATAATATGTTATGAAGACAGAAAGAAGGTACCCTATACAAATGCTGTAATTCATGAGATCCAGCGATACAGTAATATTGTATTAATTGCCCTTCCCAGAATGAGTGTGAAAGACACAGAGCTGCTGGGATTTCATATTCCAAAGGTACAAAGATGCTTTATATTTGAATGTCTTATTTCTAAAACTTCAAAAAGTTTTAAAGGTAAAGCCCTAGACACTTATTTTATTGAATTTATTGGTAGCAAATAATAAAGAAAATGAAGAAATCATAACATTCTCAAAAGCTTAAACTTCTTATGAAATGTTTTAAACCTTGTTGTCATTTTGCAAGATAAGACTTTAATTAAATCTTTACATTGCCTATTTCTCTGGCAGTATGTGCTTATATGATGAATATGAACTGTAAGACTGAATTGACGTAGCTGCTCCTTTTTTGCAGAACACTCCAATTGTAGCCAATATTGACTCTGTTCTGTCTGATCCCGAAAAATGGGAGACACCTCAACAGTTCAATCCAGGCCACTTTCTGGATGAAGATGGAAATTTTGTAAACAGAGAAGCTTTCTTACCCTTCTCAATAGGTAATTGCACAATTTATTTCATGTGATAGTAATCTAAGTAACTTAAGATTCATTCATTCCTCAACATAGATGGGGAAGCATCTATAAAAAGGTATATAGTCACATTCCACTGTTTTAAAGATCTGAATCATTAAATGACAAATTAAGTTAATTATGGGGGGAAAAGACAAAGTCTGCAGAAAGTAAACAAAAGATCCTTAGCTGACTGAGAATAGATAGTGTTTCTGAAGTTAGAAAGTGAAATATAAAGATGTAAAACTTGAACTGATTGCCCTTTTCTGTATTTTTACAGGACACCGAGTATGCATGGGGGAGCTTCTGGCAAGGATGGAGCTCTTTATTATCATCTCCACCTTGTTACAAGCCTTCAGGTTCATCCTGCCAGAAGGAGTGAAAGAAGTCAACACAAAATTTGTTTTTGGGGGCACAATGAAGCCACCTCCATACCAGCTCCGTGCCATTCCTCGGTAGGCAACGGTGCCCCGCAGATTCAGGGAGTACTTGTGCTGCAAGAATGTTTATGCATGTGAATTCATTTTGCATATCTTATGATTTTTCCTTTCCTTAGGACAACATTTATATTGGTCTCTTCCCTGATAGATACTTTTCAAACAGTTGCATTCTGAAGACCTGTACCTAGGAAGAGTTAATCTTTCATTCTTGTTTTCTGCTTGGAAAGTCCTGGTAAAATTCTCCTAAAGCATAATAAATAAAAGCATAAAGGCAACAATTTGAACTGGAATTATTGCTTAATTATTGTTTGATTATTGCTAACTGGAAATGAGATTAAAACAGAAAGAATTTAAAGCAAAGGCTATACATTAGAAATCTCTGGATTAAAAACTGGTACATTCTTTTTCATAAGTTATAGTTGCATCTGGGGAGATACATGTACCAAAAATAAAAGGAACTGTAAACTGAAGCAGAGATCTGAGTAAGTCCATTTCCTTAGAGTAGTCAAGTTTAGCTTTATGCAAGCTTGCTGTGCAACTCTATCATTGCCTCCTGACAAGACAGTTCAGGTTTCACCCGCTAAAATAGGTGGTATTTCAGTCTTTGGGATGAAAATATAGTGGTGTCTTCATCAGGTAAGGTGTGGAGAACCTTTCATAAGACAGGGAAGGAGGTGTGTACTGCAAGAGAAATGACAGCAGCAAGGGGACGGAAAGTGATGATTAATTGTTCCTTTTATGATCCCAGTGGTTAACAGCAACACGATAATGTGTTTTTTTTTCATGACAGACAGATGGCCTATCTGGTGGTGTTTGCCCCAAATCTTCCAATAATTTATTCAGTTTACTTTATTATTTTCAGGTGCTTAATCAAATCTTTCTCAGAGTTAGCTGATTTGACATCAGTCAGTGTAGATTAGCGAATCACCAGCAATAAGCAATTTGGCACTGTTAAGGACTTCTTGAAGCCCCTTATAAGCATGGTCACTAAATACCTGCAAATGTGGCTATTCACTTTTCATAGTTCTGTTACAAACATTTAACAAGCAATTTCTTGCCAGCATTGGGAATAGTTTTTTTCCTGTATGAGATAAAAAGTGCATACTGTATGCCTATGCCTACATCCGAAGGGTTATTTGTATACACTGATTAACCTTTCTATCGGATTAAAGTCGTTATAATCTCTATTTGTTTCAGCACCTCTTTAGATCTAAAGAACCCCAGTTTAACAGGTAAAGATGTGTGAAATCACTAATCTTTATGCAAAATGTAACCTGTGTTGCTAGTATTTTCCCCTGCAGGTTTACTTTGATGAGTTGGTGCAACACTCCTCTCCACTGTGGGCTTCATGGCAGCATATCCACAGAGCTGGAAGACTCGTGTGAAGTCTCTCCATGCTGGAACTGCAAAAGTTCCCTGCTCAGTAACTCCATGTAGGCAAGAGGGTACCTCATATGTGTCCAGATGGACATCAAGAAGAGAGTCAGTAACAGCAGCAGATCCTTGCCTTTAGCATCATTGTTAATATTACTTAATCCTGAAGTATAGCTGGCAGATACCACTGCTGGCACCAGTTTTGCATCTATCAAAGGTCAGCTAATGCTTCTGTCCTCACCTCTGCAATAGCTTGGTTTGCTCCAGAACCTCCTCTTTCTCCCACAACTTTGGCTCACCTCTCCCAAGTGTTCTGTTATCTCTACAGTCTGTACGATCCTTGCAACCTTCCACATTGTCTGCTCTATCCTAGTTTTCCTGCTACTTGTTTTTGTCCTTGAGTGCCACACGCTCCCTTGACTACTCTTCCACCAGATGCTATTCAGTTTCATGGCAGAGGGAGTAAGGTAGCTCTCATTGTCTTAGATGGGATAATAAAAGTTGATTAAAAATATAGTTTTGAGCCCAGTCTCTAGAAAAATTATTGTTTAATTTAAGAATTAATTATTTTATTTTTCTTTTCAGATTCTTTTAATTTTGCCTTGAATATTTGAGCCTTAAGGATCTGCAACAATTGCAAAATATTCCAAAGTAAACTGGAATGTAGTCCTTACAGTGTCACCTAATAGAAGAATTGCATATTGTTACACTGTAGTCATCTGTGGTAAGTGTCTGTTCATACTCCAAAGGGAAAATTACATGTACAGATTAAATGCAAACATTTCTAAGTGTGAAATTCCACTCTGAACATGTTTGCAATGCAGAGCATGTTTTGTAGCTCTAAAGGAAGCTCTGGTCACACTTCAGGAAGGAGAGGGAAAAAAAAAGCTAAAATGTCACTATTTCCACTCACATTTGCCTTTTCTGAGGGTCAAGAGCAAATTAAAGAACAAAATATTCTAAATGATAATCTTGTTTGCCTTGGAGCATTCTCTCCTGGCTGTGTTTTTGGGTGCCTGCTGAAGGACAGCAGCCAACTGAAGTTACTACAAGAATCACGCAGGCTGCTTCTTTCTGCCTTCAGGAGATGGTACTGTTTGTAGAAGGACACAGAACAAAGAGATTCTAACAACTCAAAATATGCATATGCAGTCTTTTTTCTTGCTCTGTTCTATGCAGTTTCTTAAACTGCATATAGAGTAGCTGTAGTTAGTTCCACAGCAGCTTTGCTTTATATGCATTAAGATAATAAGATAACAGCAATATGAATTGTGGCTGCTTCATTTCCATGTGCGGAAGGTGCAGGGAGCTCCATGTCTCCCCAGATAAGGGCTATTAAGATCATTAAGGTGCGAGGCATCTCTCACATGAGGAAAGGCTACACAAACTGGGACTGCTCAGCCTGGAGAAGAGAAGGCTTGAGGAGATCTCATCAGTGTGTATAAATATCTGAGGGGAAGGTGCAAAGAGGATGGAGCCAGACTCTTTTCAGTGGTGCTCAGCAATGAGAGGCAATGGGCACAAACTGAAACACAGGAAATTCTGTCTGAACATAAGGAAAAACTTATTTACTGTGAGGATGACAGTGCTAGAGTGGGTTGCCAGGGGCTCTGTGGAGTCTCCATCTTTGGAGATACTCGAAAGCTGCCTGGACACAGCCCTGGGCAAGTGCTCTAGGGGACCCTGCTTGAGGAGGGTGGTTGGAACAGATGATCTCCAAGAATCTCTTCCACCCTCAACCCTTCTGTGATTCTGTGATTGATATTGATCAAAGCTGGTTGCCATAATTTAAAACATTTTTTTTGGCCTGCTCTAGCAATATAAAAGGATATATTAACATATTTTTGAAATATTTTTTATAAAACCATGCATAAGTTATATCTACTAAATTCTTTAACATCTATCAACATCTATAATATCTGCTACAAGACAGCAAAACCCAAGTGTACTGGCTACCATGGTGCGGGCGGCTGTCCCAGCTTGCACCTCCCCACAGAAGGGCAGGATGCAAGGAAGCCATTTTAGGAGCCAGGAGCCGCCATCTTGGGTGGACGAAGCAGAGGGTAGCAGGGCAGCTGTGGCAGAGCAAGCTGCCAAAAAACAAAAGTAAAAAGCATCTGTGCCGGAGCCTGGGAGACGACCCGAGGGGAAGGTGGGTGGCATGCTCCATGTGTAACCGCTTTTGCAATGCTGTCAGCAGCCTCCCAGGGAGGGCTGTGCACAGTGTTTAACAGAGCCGCTCCCTGCCATGGCCGCACAACAAAGGGGAGACAAGCTGGGCAGTGCCATCTCGTGCTCACTCCTTCCTTCAGAACTGCTGCAGCTCTGCATGCTGACCTGCATTCCGCTGCCTAGGTTGCCTGCCCTTTTATTTTTCCTGACCACTCCTCCCTCCCTGCCGTCAGCTACAAGCCTCCATTTTAGATTGGAGAAAGAGGACATGCCTGGAGCCATGGAGAGCCTCAGCCTCATGGAGGGCCTCAAAGTCTGAGAAAGACGGAATATCTACCTCCTGCAAGAAAACATCACCAGGAAAATGGGGTTTAAAGCCATGTTTTAAAGCCAGCGCTGCAGGTGAGGCAGCCTTGGGAGGCTTTGCCCCAGGGTCGGTCTGAAGGCTTTTGCCTAATCCAGGCTTTGTCTTTTAGTGAGTCTGCATGGTCTGGATGTGGCTGGGAGATGGCAAGGTGCCATGTTGAGGAGCTGGTGAGACTGGAGCAGCTCAGAGCTTTACCTGTCCTGTCTTTTGCACCTGAGAAGAGGGAAGAATGGAGGCCACATGTGTCCTGAGCCCCTTACATCCTATTTTCCTTGTGAAGGATAGGGGCAGCTACATTAGAATTGAACGCCTTGAAAAATAAGCTGTGAGGCTTATTCAGATTAATTTTGCTTACTCTGTAAACAACCAGAATGTTTGGAGAAGAGCAGAAATAGCCCTTTCTCAGTTAATAAGCTTAATAAATGACGTTTCAGTGGTAACAAACTGGCATGATTGGAAGCTAATTGATTTCACTAGAAATCATGGTGTGGTGCTCTCCAGGCTGTTCCTCATGGATCTGGTGCCACAGATCTCATGACCAAGTTTTGCCCCAAAGACGGGAGCAGTTGAAAGAAGGAGGCTGATGTAAAAGCCTTTTCCGCAGGTTTTCAGAAGATGGATGAAAATTGATTGGTTTTATTAGTATTTTCCTTTCAGAGAGAAGCATTTACGCATAGTGTTTCAGTCGGGAGCTGTAAAACAAAACTATTGCTGCTATCGATGTTTCATCCCCAGAATCCTTGTGTGGGTTTGTGTTCTGATTAAAGGCATCCTTGTGTGGGTTTGTGTTCTGATTAAAGGCATGTAAACTCCCCTGCTAATATATTTATACCTTTTGCATGTGTTGAGGCTTGACAAAGCACTTTGCTACATCCTGCATTTATTATTGAGTTTCTAGGCAGGGCACATTCATGTTCTGACTGGTTTTCAAACTTGATGAAGGTGCTTTGCTTTTGGCATAGTTCAGGATTCCTAATGGCTTTTCCCTGCACTTGTTCTTTATGTATTTCCCTGCTTGCTGTGGATATATTTTATTCACCTGGCAAGCTTTCTGAAAATTGTTCAAAATATCCTTTACAGCATCCACTTTTATGTTGGAATTGAAAGTGGAAAAATGATAGAGACAAGCGAAGTTCTCAGAAAAGTTAGTTATTGCAAACAAGTTAGAAAAAAGTAGATTAAATATTAATATACTTACGTTTTGATTTAAATTTGAAAGCTTAAAAAGTTTTGTAGTGTATATTGAGCGTTTGACACTCATATGCATTTTATGACAAATGTGGGCTTTTAACTTTTATCACACTTGCCACTGCCTTTAATCAATGACTCTGCTGGATATAAGTATAAATGAAATATATACCAAACATTTTTAAAAGTCCAAGATTTACTATTAACTTATAATTGCATGCTTAATTTGTAGATATGGCTATTGCTTTTCTAAAAGCATTCATGAAGAATTTATAGGAGCGCACACATCTACAACTGTTTCAGAAAGCTAGCTGGAAGATTTGCACGTGGTTGTGTATACCTACCTTGCCTAGGAAATCTGGAATATAAAGATTCCAGTCCTACAAATCCAGTGATTTGTATTTGATAAATACAATCTAAGTGAGAATAGAAGGGTATACATCTATTAAATATGCTTCAGCATGAAAATATAATAAGTAGGATGGAAAAGGAGTGGTTGTTATTGAGGAGGGAGGGATGAGGGCGGGAATAAATAGTTGCATGAATTTTAAACTCATGAACAACCTGGTTAAGTAGCCAGTCTGCACAGACTGTATTCAATAAAGACAAGCCGATAAAAGCAGCAGTTAAAATGCTGACCATAAGTCAAGTTCTTTTAGGTTTGGTTGTATTTCTTCTGATTATGCAGTTTTTAAAATTGCAACGAGCCCGGAGAAAATTTCCTCCAGGACCCGTCCCTCTCCCAATTCTTGGAACTTTCCTGCAGATGAACTTTCAATTGAATCGTGATCTCCTCATGAAGGTATTTATTTTCAGGTCTCTTAATTGAATGATTAACAGCCTTGTAATTTCCCATTTCTCTTGTTGTTTACTGTGTGAAAACATCCTCTCCCAATAACTGTCAACTGACCACTGTGAAACTGCACTCAGTTTGTTTTGAAACTGCTGATTTGGATGACAAAATATGAGAAACTGCTTGCAGGATAAAGTAGTTTTCCAAGCTAAGGAAACTTGTATTGAAAATATTGAATGTGCAAAAATCAATCTGATGCTAAGCTCATCAACTTGTAAAAATGAATTTGACAAATGTGTGTGAAAAGTAATACTTGTTAGAATTAAATACTTTTACAGATAATGTATCAGATTTGTAGAGAGGGAGAGGGCTACAATTTGAAAGACAAACAGCATGAATTTTTGATTTTCAGAACGTGGGCACTTTCTCATTTGATCAGGAAACAGGTATTTAAGGTATGCTGTATGTTGTATATGCTTGCTGTTCTGACAGAATTAAAAAAAAACACGAGTCTTTCATTACTTGTCTTTTGAGGAGTATTTCTACATGCAAGGCCATCTCTATCTGATTCTGTTGCCTGTCCCACTGCTTTCATAATTCTCTTTAGATAACTTCACAGTGGCTGCTGTCCCTGCCATTCGGACAAGGCTCACCAGTTTTGGGGACCAGGCCGCAGATTTGGACGGAAAGTAAAACTACATTGTGAAAGAAAATGTCAAGTTCCAGTTTTAAATATGCAGTGTGTGTGTGTGTGTGTGTGTGTGTGAGAGAGAAATGTGACTGGTCCAGTTTTTACCAGGTAGTTGTGCTGTTGCCAGTATTTTACAAAATATGCTAATACTGAGGAAGGCAAGTGAGGAGGGTATTTAGAAGTTAAATAACTAACACCGTTTCTGAAGGAAGTGATATTTGGTCATTTCTCTGATTTTTCCTCTCTTCCTTTGTCCGTCTAGTAGTACAAATGATAGAAATGTTCTTGAAACAAATTCAAGGGAAGGTCTTTTGCATAGAAGATTTACTGGAACACATGATATGGGTCTGGAAAGAGAAATGAAGGTGGTGTTATGAACTGAGCCTGGGCTTGTGTATAGTAATAAAAACTACCTGATGTTTATTGCCTTAATGGCAAAGGTTTACAGCTGTGAAATGCTGGAATATAAAGTTGTTTCAACATTGAACACAGGAAAAGATATTCACAGCATCTCACAGATAACTGTAATCTAATGAAAAATGTGGGAAGCATGACTCCAAGGTTAGACTGGTCCCATAATCAGTGTAGAAACAGGTTCATCCAGTGTTTGAGGTATGCGAGATTTCTTCTGTGCTTTTTTGGCTTTTCTCCCATCTGTAGCTGGCAAAAATTCATGGCAACGTGTTCACTTTATGGTTTGGCCGGGTCCCAGTCGTCATACTGAATGGGTTTCAGGCAGTGAAGGATGGTATGACTATGCACCCTGAAGATGTTTCTGGCAGACCGGTGTCTCCTTTCTTCAAAGCAATGGCCAAAGGAAAAGGTGAGATTTGCCTTCCATAAATATTGCACAAAAACTTTGTCTTGGCAATTCTACAGCTTATAAGCACTCTTAAAAATACTGTAGTGGCAGGATTTGCCTATGAGAAATGACTGCTAGATGAACTGCAAAGCAGGGAGAGATGAAATAGTCTTTGACAGTAACTGGAGGAAATGACCAGTAAAGAAGAAAGATCCATAAAGCTTTGTGTGAAATAGTCACTGGAGCAGACTCAGAAGTGATGGTATGAGGCAGTGGCAGCTTGTTCTGCAGAGAAGTAGAGGAAGAAACAACGACAACTTGCCCTGAACTCACTGTCTCCTACCACAATTAAGACCAAGCTTGGTGGTAGGAACTTCTTCCTATTCCTTTCCCAGCCTTAAGCAACTTGCTTAGTCTGACAAGTTATGTCTTAAACTTTAATACACTTCTGCTTTAACCTTTCTGCTGCTTTCATACTCCCCACTCGTAGTGGAAATTCCCAAGCTCCTGATTCTCTTATTTCCTACATTGTCTCAGACAACTTAGGACTGTAGTTAGCCTGGATGATTTTTAGACTAAGTGAATTTGCTAAGCAGAGAGAATATTTTCGAACTACCAAATTTCATGTTCAAAGATTTACATGTACCCCTAAGAGCATTTTACAGCTGCTGAGAACTGCTCACTAATTGCTTGTTTTACCATGTGATTTCCGCAGTTGTACTTGCTGTGGCAACACAAGAAATATGTTTTTCTGATATCTTCTACCTTGATCAAGACTTATGGGTGGAGAACTCAGTTCTGGCTCTTCTAACTTTTTTCACTGTTTCCTGCTATTTATGAAGATCACAACTACCTCGCTGGTCTGCATTTTCGCTCTTTTGCACACACACACAAAAAGCTTATACTCGGTATATGTCAGGATAGGATTCTGCTTGTGATGCTATCTGAAGTAATTGTAACACCTACACTGGAGTTTGCCTTGTGCAACATTTCCTGCCAAACCTGTACATCTCCACTTGCAGCAATCCTCTGATATTTAGGAGTGGGAATGTTCCTTGGGGTAAGGGAGCGCCGTAGCTAGCTGTATTAATGAAAGCCATTCAGAAAATGAAAAGGTAGATACACAACAATTTTGCACGTTATTGCTATCAGGTTGTAAAGCCTGGGACTATTTACAAACTGCCTGAGCTCTGGAACTGAGGATAGAGACACACCCAGCCTAGGCTCCTGTACCCCTCGCAGGCAGTGCTTCTCCGTGTGTTTGCATGAATCCTTATTCATGGGCATCCCTTGAGCCTTCACAGGCACGTCACAGCTTCATTGTATTCCCTGTTGATGGTTTATGAGGGGATGGGATCTGGACTTGGATGGAATTGCCCCGATATAGCTTGAAATTTGGCCCTGGATGCAAGGATCTGTTTCCCAGGTAGTACTCTGTGCTGTCATACAATGCTGCTTCAACCCAAGGTAGAATCTGGTGGTGCTGAAGGGAGAGGGGTCTGGCTCCATCAAACCTTGATACTTGAAAGCTTTACGGCCTTATGTCCTTCTTATACTACATGCAAGATCCCATTAATATATGATGTTTTTTCCCCATGAAGATACCTGTTATGAAGCCCAAGCACCAAACTGTCCTGCACTATGGACAGTCAGAAGAACCCTTTCCCCTTCCTCCCTTTGCAAAAATCGTTATCCCAGTCAGGTGTGCTGCAAATGTGGCGAAGAGCATGAGATGAGCATGTCAGAGAGCATCTAGAGAAGCAACTCTTGAACTTTTTGATTATGTAGTTGTCCCGGATCTTGCTTAGTCATGCTAGGCTTATTTTGCACAGTTCAGTTTGTCCCCTTCTGCCTTGCCCTATGTTTGCAGCCCCTCTTGTTTATTCCTCTGTGGTTTTGTGTTCACAGGCAATACAAAATTTGATAGTAATCTATGCTTTATTAAACCTTTTAACATAATCTGTGTCTATAATAAGTATTACCACAATAAAGAACTCTTTACTGAACTGCCTCAGGGATTATGCTGGCAACCGGTCACACCTGGAAGCAGCAAAGGAGGTTTGCACTGAGGGCTCTATGCAACTTGGGTCTGGGCAAGAGAGACCTTGAGCGTCGAGTTCAGGAGGAGGCCCACTACCTGGTAGAGTTCTTTGCGAATACGAAAGGTAACTGCAAAATATAGATGCTTTTCTATTATTAATCTGATATTGTTAGTGTACAATTTTCAGAGCCTCCTGCTCTGAAATCAAGGGCAGCTTCTGTTCAATAGCAGAGTATACAGAGTATTGAAGTATCTATGTGGGATGGACTGAAAATGAGCCCCCTTCTGTGTTTTCAAACCCAGTGGGAGCCTATTATTGCTCAAAATTATTTATAAAACTATTACAGTAGGGAAGTAAAACTGGAGCTGACCTTATATATTATTTATGTCATAGGATCACAGAATGGTTAAGGTTGGATAGGAACTGTATTCTTTACACCCTCCCATCAGATATTTATACACATTAATGAGGTCCCCCCTGAGCCCCGTACAAGAAAATTCAGGCTAGGAAAATTCAAGCTAATTCAGGCTTCAGGCTGAAGAAGATTCAGGCTAAACAATCTCAGCTCTCTCAGCCTATCTTGTATGTCAGATTTCCAGTCCGTGCTCGTTGTTGGACTCGCCCTGGCAAAGTGAGTCCGTGTCTCGCTGTCCTGGTGGGAGCTGCTCCCAGAACTCCAGACCAGCCTCAGTAGCGCTGCGCAGAGCAGGAGGACCATCTCCCTCGGCCCGCTGACTGTGCAGCCCAGGGTGCTCTCTGCCTTCTTTGCCACAAGACACATTTCTAGCTCATATAAAGTGCTGGTGCCTGAAGATATGGGTATATTACCAGGGTGGTTTTTTTTTTCTTAACTCTAAATGTGCTCTATCAAAATACAATATATTTTACATGTCTCCTAGTTCTTTAGAGTGCCACTCATTGCTGGGGTTATAAGATTACACCATCATTGTGAAGAATCTGTTTGATACTACAGTTTTCTAGGAAGCTTGCTTCATCTCTGGGAAATGCGATGCTTGTATATGTAAAGCGCTTTGGGTAACTTGTAATATCACTTCACTAAAGCAGAATAGGATACATTAAGAGTGACTGTTTATTATTACGGTTGCAGAGAAGCCTTTGGATCCTTCTTTCCCGCTCTTTCATTCAGTCTCCAATGTAATTTGTGCTGTCGTTTTTGGCCATCGCTTCTCCAGTGAGGATGAAACCTTCCATGAGCTGATTAGAGCTACAGAATGTATATTCAGATTTGGAGGCAGCTTTTTTCATCATGTAAGTAAATAACCTGTTTTTTTTGTTGTTGTTGTTGTTGTTTCAAACAGGATAGAAAGTGAGAAATGCTGATGCAAGAAGTGGCTGTTAGGCAAAACAATTTTAGAATTGGTGAGTCATGTCCCATACAGCTTTCCTGAGCATGGCACTATCTCAAAGTGGGCCCCTAATGTGCCTACCTAGTGACCTTGGTCATTAATGTCCCTTGTCCTGTATTTCAATGCACCTCGATTATCTTTGCAGCAAGGCACAGACTATGGACTCATTCTGGGCCATGTTTGTTACTCAGTTGCTCAATCTGCTGCAACAGATGCCTGCCTTGGGCATCATGATTCTTAAATACCAAACATTACGTCTAAAAGTGTGATCCACAGTCCTAAGTTTAGATACAAGTTTTCATACATGGAAAAAAAGAGAGAAGTCTTCTTTTCAGAGAGAAGATTGGTTCATCAGTGTTGTGCCTGCACCTACCTATTGCTAACTCTTCGAGAGTAAACAGGGACTTAAGACTTCTCAAAGAAATTCTCGTCCTGTGTGTGTGAGGAGCAGCCTTGAGGCAGGCAGCAGCAGATAGGAGATACTAATTCCAGCCATGACCGCTGTAGCCTTGGCATTAGGAATCATCAATGCTTTTCTGAGAGTCAAGCATCTGACAAGAGAAGAAGCTTGCATTGCACAGCAGGGTAGTGGCTTGAATAGCTGTCAAGGAGTCCTGGTCCTGGTCCCAGTTTCTAATCTTGTTCATACATCTTGTTTGGCAACTTTTTAATGCAAAATGTATTGCAGTCCCTGGAATGCAGAGATCCCCCAACTTTCCAGGAAGCATTATTTTCACTGAGCTAAGATCAAATTTCTTTTTGCTGTCTTTGGACCTAGGAATTGTACGTGGTGGTGGCAGATGAAACCTGCTTTTGGGATAGAATATATACCTCCTTTCCCTCTCTCCTTCCCATCCTGGCTTTGCTCTACTCAGCTGAATAAGATGTTCTTCTGTGAAATGAGAACAGTGCATTCAAACCATCTCAGAATGAGGGGAACAATTTTACCACTCCCTAGATGCAAGGGTGTTTCTCAGTGTTATCCAAATGTGGGCCTGGCTGTGTCCACATCCCGGGGTTATAACAGGCCCCCACACTGTTGGGTGCTGAAAGAGGAAACCCCCCTGGGCCCCTCCAGAAATGGAAGTTTCAGGACAGATAGCCAGGAAGGTGGATGGTCTCAGTTCCCCTCTTCAGCTTTGGCAGTTAAATTCCACTTGCGATTAGGATGCCAGAATAGGCAGAAAATGCATATATTTAAGGGTGGGAGTGCACATAATTCAGGCAACCATTCGTAATCATTCAGACCACAGTTGTGTGTAATACTTCTGAGCATGTTTTAAAGGAAAGAAAAATACCAGCAATGTACCTAAACAAAAATCATATGAAGTGCAACATGTATGTACCAAGGATTACTTGATAATTAATTGATAATTGGCTAATTAATTGATAATGGTCTGTCTGAAGAGAACTGATTTTCAAAAAATACAGAAGTATCATGTATCTAATTCAGGCAGTCTCAAGTGAAAACCTGATACAGCGCTTTCCATGGTGTAATGAAAAGAGCACAAAAGATGTAGAGAGAATAAGGAACTGGCCATCAGAGAGTGAACAGTCAGTTGGGACAAATCAGGCTGAAAGGAACTTACTAGGGTTTTTCAAGGCTTTGTCTTGAGATAGATTTTATTTAATTATTTCATTAATAGCAGAAGACGGGATGCATGGTAAGAAAATTTATTGACAATTTGTTGACATATCTGATGGTGTCACTTTTTCTGGAAGACAGCATTTAAGAAGGTCAGGTAGCTGTTTCAGCCTTTCCAGGTTTCAGGCAGACAGCAGGTATTTCAAGTGTTAATGAGGATTCCTGAGTGCTGGGTTGTTAGTGACTCTTTTGGGGAATCACTGAGGTCTAAACCAGCCTCTGGGAGTCAGCCCTCTTTGTGCAATTTATCAATTGCTTTTTTCCAGTGAGGACAGTTTACAGTGGCCTTTCTTGCTCTTTTTCCAGTATTTGCCACTTGAGGGCAGGAGCTCACTTGTTAAATGCAGTGAATACAGTCATGTTAATCATTTTAATTTGAATTGTGGAGCTGAAACTGTGTAACTGAATTTTACTACCATGTATCTAAATATTACATACTTTGATGTTTCACAGCTCCAAAACATTAGCACGCCCTGTCAGGATATTTTGCTATGTCATACCAAAACACGTGCTAACAAGGACATCAACTTCTGTCTCTATTTGATCTCCAATGTTTTCTCTAGTGATAGAGATTTCATGGTACCTCTTGTATGTCACTCACAGCTGTACGAACTTTTTCCCCGGCTGATCTGCCATCTCCCTGGTCCTCATGAGAAGGCATTGGCCAGCTATGAGATCCTCAGCTCTTTTACAAGGAGGGAGATCAGAAGGCATAAGGAGAGAGGGATACCAGAGGAGCCACAAGATTTCATTGACTTTTACCTAGCTCATATTGAAAAAGTAAGTATTTGTTCTGCCTGGTCATCTGTTTATTGAGGTATATGGTCAAATGGATGATTAAAGCAGCTAGTACTTGATTTCTTATTACAGTACTGTTTTGTGAGGGAGAAAAAAAGCAAATACCACAGGGTTGCCAGGGTGTGTTGCCAATGTAAGATTTCATTATTGTCCAAGCTGATAATTCTCTCGAAGAATCAAATCAGGTCTCTTTGGCAAGATCAGTTTTGTATATAATGATAAATAGCACTCTTGTATTTCTATCTAGTAATTCTTTATTAATTAAATTCCATATCTGTTGCTATGCTGTTTCACTCAGCATTGACGTCAGTCTAACTGCCTTCTAGTTCTTTATTTACCTTTTCCTTTAAGGTTTTTGATACTGGCTCGGGATTAACAGTTGAGGTCTTCTGCAGTCTTCTGAAATCTCTAACTGCTATTCGAAGTTTAATGGAACGTAGACATCAGTGGTCCAGAAATTCTTTCAACCAGCTCCTCTATAACTCTGCTAGAAGAAAATTATCCAAGTTTATTTATTAAAAGGAAAAAAAGCATGTAGTAGCAAGAACTGCATAAAAAGACTAGATATTACAATAAGAAAAAACATTGTTCTTCCCACCCTATGATTGCTCCATTGGCAGAAGATCCCTAAATTTCAAAGGGATTTTGTTTTTTTTTGACATTCAAGATCCCTACATTTAAGCAATGGATTCTCCAAAAACTTAAAAAGATTCATGCATGGTTTCATCACAGCAAAAATATCCTCACACTTTAAACTGAAAGCATCATAATAACAATATTGTTCCCCAGACCAGCTGTGAGTCATCATGGCCTTGTAGTGCATCAGGAATCTGAAGATCACAGATTAAAAACTGTTCTTGCAGCTCAGTGTTCATTATCTGTTCACTGTATTGCCTGGCAGAACAGCTAAGTGATAGAAATATGACTTTGAGGCGTGAAGAATGACTTGCAGGTGCACATCTTCGGAAGAACACTTAATTCATGAAACATTCCAAATGTACCACTATTTTCATTATTAAGCCAACAACCCTTCTCTGTGGTGAACACATGATTCAACTTCATTATTAAAGGGAGAGTAAATATTCCTTGTCCATCTGTGCAAGGGTAGCTTTTTTTTATTGATAATCATCTTTAGTTTTTAGTATTCCTGTGTCTGTGTATGTGTCCTGTGTCTGTGCTTCATGCTATAGGCAGAACCCACTGCATTTTGAAACCAATAATAACATCACATTCAGGTTATGCTAAATTTTACGTTTAAACCTCTGCTGCTTCCTATCACTTGCAGTCCAAAGATGAACCCATGTCTACATATGATGATGACAACATGGTTTATTCTATAAATGACCTTTTCTTGGGTGGATCAGAGACAAGCAGTACTACTTTGAACTGGGGACTGCTCTATATGGTGGTGAATCCAGACATTCAAGGTGAGAGGAAGAGGGTAAGCAAATCACAAGTACCTCTGTTGCACTTGTAACTGCCTAGTGGTAACATTTTCATGGATTGGGGATTATTTCTAGACTCTGGTATGTGGTTAGTGGCACACAGAACTCTGTAGTGGTGGATCTGTGCTGGACATATGAGTAGCTTCAGATGCTCTGTATAAATCTCTGCAATAGGCACAGACATCAGGCAGCTCTCAGAGCTGCTGCTGGGAGTAGGGGTGTGTAATGGGGGCTGGGGCTGACTGAGCATGTGAGGGCTGAGGCCTTCGTGGGGGAAAATGAGGGATTGTGGTAAGATGGTTGATACAGACTGGGAACTATGTTTGGGAAACTAGAGGTTTAGCCTTGTAATGGTGGTGGTGATACTTGGAGAAACTGAGTTTCATTCTGTATTAGACAGCAACATCTAAGGGCTGATTGATGCCTTCTTATTTTTGGCCATTGGTCTACTTACGATCTTGAGGTTTAAAGGTTCCCATTTAATCAGTTAGTGACTCTGTGATGTGTTAGATTCTATTTGGGAGGAAAATTTAATGACTTATCTATGTATCAGTGTCTGTGTATATTTAAGTAGATTATTTTCAAATTTAACTTTTAAACAAGCATCAGTTGCTTTCTGAAAATACTAAATAAAATCAGAGAATTTGCTCATGTGCAGGGTAACCGAAATCCTGTTGTTAGATAGCAGAATATCTGCAAACACCCAGAGAGCAGGATTGTAATTGGAGGAAGGATGTGATGGTAAGAGAAAATTTGCTCAACAGATAGCTGTCAAACAAGAAGGTCTGCTTAGTCTTGTGTTATTGCGTGTGTATTAGCACCTGTTGTAATTAAGGTTATGAAAGTTCTGACTCGCCTACATAGCTTTATTTATAATGCCTTGCATGTATTTAGGAAAGCAGGGTGTGTGCAAAATGATCCATTCCTAGCTTCTCGAGCCACACATCACACCCTGAATCTCATTATGAACAGGTACCAGTACCAGGTACCAGCAGATCTGTCCCCTCATTGATTTTTGCTTATGGAATCCATTTGTAGTTTTGCCTGTGTGACACCAGTGACAATGCTGCACTAGTCCATTAAGTTCCATATTGAAAAACTCCACCTATTGGTTATTTAAATCTGTTGCCTGATCATGGAATTGGGTTGTGCCTCTGATACAGCTGGAACAGAGATGTGTCTTTAGACTTTTGCAGAGACCATTCACTTCTGGCTATATTGGATCCCCACGTAGTTATGTCCTTGATCTTGCAAGCTAGTTGTTCAAAAAACTTTATCTAAAAATAGAAAAAATATGGACATGTATTTTAAATTCTATAAGGTTCTTAAGCCAGGCCCTCAAAACAGATATTTAACCTGGGTTTGGGAAGGGCCCACTAGCAATCACTAGCCAGGTTTCATGTGAATGAGCACAAACCCTGACCACTGTGGAATGAGCAATAGGAAGACTTTGCTGCAACTTAAAGGGCTTTAAAGGGCCCCTAGCTTGGAGAAAGATTGTATCATTTGTTAGAAAAATTAGGACATTTTTACTGTGTGTGTGCTGCATGCGTTGAGGTTTACAAAATATATATATCTATATACTTCAATTAATGCTTCCAACACCTCTATTCCGTAAGTAATTTAAAATACTCTATTCTTGATGAAAAGTCAGATGTCAAGAGTCAGATCAGTTTTTTAAAGGAGGAATTTGGGCATTGTTCTGGTTGGCATGACTTCACATAACAGATGTCCTGCATGAGATCCATTTCTTTTTAATAGGAATTAGATTTTTAAGAGTCAAGTTCATCTGGCTTAAATTCCACATAATTATGCGCCAGGTGGTTCTAACTGGCTCTAGGTGTCCAAAGGCAGCCTGCCTAAAGAAAAGACAAAGATAAATGCATTAATTGTTGCATTTGACTATTAACAGGACAATGCTTAATGATGTTTACAATTCTAAGCAACAGATGTCCTGCCTTAAACTAAAGCAAATAATTCAAGACCAAGAAGTAGAGCTTCCAAGTGCTTAAGCTGTTGGAACACCACATTGCCTTTGTTTTCTTTATAAAAATTATTTGTATTTTGACAGTAATTTTTCATCTATATTTTGCATATATTTTTCCACCTGAAATGGTGAATATTTTTCTATAGAGAAAGTGCAGAAGGAGCTGGATGCTGTTTTAGGACCTTCCCAGTTAATCTGCTATGAGGATCGCAGAAGACTGCCCTATACAAACGCTGTGGTTCATGAGATTCAGCGCTTCAGCAACATCGTCTTTGTTGGCATGCCCAGAGTGTGCGTGAGGAACACAACGTTGCTGGGCTTTCCCCTCAGGAAGGTACTGAAATGCTTTCTCAGTCATTACTGACCTTTGCTGCGTCAGTACAGCGGGGGGCAGACTCAAATACGTTTGTGCTGGTTTGGGTTTGTCCCCTCACTGGGACTTGGGCACCTCTGTGTCAGAAGCTGAATGGGGAGGAGGACAAGAAACAATCTGCCAAGCTGAGGTGGCTGATACAGCTCTTGGGAGAGGGTTATTAGCAGTGAAAGATGTCACTGTCCGAAAGAGGCAATTTTAGCAGTGTTTCTACAAAAAATGAGAATAAAACCTTAGAGACTGGCACTGGAGGATCCTGTGATTGATTTTGCACGAGGCATGATGAAAGATTTCCGACTGGATATCTGTCTCCAGGAAGCCTGTAGGAAGCCTGTAGAAGATTTGTCTAGGGATAAGCATGAAGGGTTTCAGCTTCTGTTGAGACTAGATTACAGAAACTTCTAATGTTAGAAGTGCAGGTGAGTTTGCAGTCATGCCCTTAGTTTCTGTTCACAAGGCCATTTCTGGTGTCAGGCCTGACATTGGAATTAAAAAGACTTCATGCTCCTGTCAAGTCCTCTCTTCCTACTGCTATTGCCATACAACACACCAGACACTAAAAGAGAACAGGGACCAGCCCTGGTCTCACCTTTACGTTTCTGGCTGCCAGAAGATGATTGACAGCCAGAACCAATTGAGTGTTTTGTTTTATTTTTCTTTTCTTTCAGGGTACCACTGTTCTCGCAAATATTGCTTCTTCTTTGTATGATCCAGAGCAGTGGGAAACGCCTCGACAGTTCAACCCTGGTCATTTCTTGGATAAGGATGGAAACTTTGTGAGCCCAGAAGCCTTTTTACCATTCTCAATAGGTAAATGGGCTGACAGCACAAAAGTTAATGCTTTGTGTTGGGACAGTAAAATTAAGATGTCTATTAAAAACCTACTGGTTGTTTATTTTAAACCTTCTTTGTGGAAAACAGTGATAAAATCAACACAATTTTCCGCAGTATTTCCCAGTCCAACAGTAAACATCTGTTCTTCTAAGCGAATAATAGCATGAAAAAGCAGACATACAGTGAATAATGTATACATCTGACTTGTCCTATTTCTGGAAGGAAATTCTCTGCTAATGATTACAGTTATTGATTTGGGGCATATGTTTCAATCCCAGGCGCATACATTTGGAAGGCATTTGAAAGCAGCTGTGCTGATGCTTCATGCATATGTAACTGGAGCGTGACATCTTTCAGGAAGAACATGTCCTTATCCTTCATTTACATGATTGAATTAATTGCTTTAAAGTTCTCAATCAGATAAAGATGAGGTTTTTGAGGTAATTGAAGTGAAACTCAAAGCAGAAGAGGCGCATTTATCTATGGTGGCAAATAGGGTTTTAAGGTAGAAGGTTTTGTGTCACTGATTGGATTATGTTCAGAAGAAATTCCAGGCTCGGCAAAAGCACCTTTGCTTTGTGGTGGGCATGAGTGAAGATTCCTTTTGAGATCAAGGTGATCTGTGCAAATAGAAAATTCCTGGGTACTCACTGTCTTCCGCTTGTCCCTTCTGCAGGGCACCGTGTGTGTTTGGGGGAGCACCTAGCCAGGACTGAGCTCTTCATTTTCTTTGCCAACCTGCTGCGGGCTTTCACCTTGCAGCTCCCCGAGGGAGTGACAACGATCAACACAGAGCCCATTTTGGGGGGCACCCTGCAGCCCCACCCATACAGGCTTTGTGCCATCCCGCGCTAGGATGCAGTGTGATGTGGGCCATCTATAAAGCAATACTATTTAATTTTATAAATATCATCTTGAATCCATAAAGTCTTTTTTTTTTCTGTCTCAGATAGTATTTTCTGTCTATCCCTGGACTGCTCCAAAAGGCACCATTATCTACATCAGATAATTCTGTTCAGACCTCGTTGCCCACTCTGGAAGGTGGTCTCTTCTTGTAATTGCTCTTCTGCTCTGCAGCTCACCACTGCTCGTAGCTGTGAAGGCACCGTTTGGTTGCTGGCTGGTCTGGCAGAGTTAGAACCATCTGGTGAGCAGATGTTCATGAAATTGGCTGGCAGACTTCAAAAATGAATTCATTAGCTCTGAGTGATCCTATTGTCAAAAGCAGTGGAGTTCTGAAAAACTTTTCTGCAAAATTCTGCCTGTCATGACTCATAACAATTCAATCAGTTTTTTGTTTGTGGTCACTAATAAAAGATATGACAGAAAAATTATCAGCTGTTTTTATTTATTACTGATTTACAGGTCACTCTGAGTTATGAGATTTGATCCGGCTGAATATTTGTAAGGCATCTTTAAATCTGCCAGGGGATATTTGGTGGGAGCAGGATTGAGAAAGGTTGCATGCTGAAGATCTATTATGGAGGATTTATTTTAGGGAAGATATTTTTAATGTTTTGAAATACTGCCAAGTTACTTTTTAAAAAGACCTTTCTAACAGATCAAGTGTTTAGTCCTGTCTGTGGATTGACTCCTGTCAGGATCAGCACTGGGCAGCTACTGCTGCAGGTGCCAGGAAATCTTTCATGAAACAGTTTGGATTGAGGAGCCTGCTAGAAGAGCTGGAGAGCTGACTCTACATGGAAAAACATGCATGGAAAACACTAGCGAGGTCTTGTAATTACCTCTGAAGTGAAGTGGTATAACTGAAGCTGCAAAGGTCTAGCAAGGTCTTGTAATTACCTCTGAAGTGGTATAACTGAAGCTGCAAAGGCTTCTCATATACATAAAGTACTGGTCAAATGCAGTGAAAGAGTTTATGAGAGCAGAGCAGAAAAAAAAAACCTTCCCACATAAATACAAATATGTTTGTATTGTCTGGAAAAGAATTATAAAACACAAGTGAATTGATCCTTCATTAATATTCCTATCTTGCTGAGAGAATAGAACAGCTACCCCGACCATCATCTGTTAAATCAGTCATCACTAGATCTTGGCTACTGTGTGATTGAGATGTGCTTAGGCAGTTCACAATGAATCACAAATTTAGGCCTGTCTCATTATTTCTAATTCAATAGTTGATGGAACATGGCATCAAAATAGTAAAGCACTTGATATTTAGCTGTTATTAAATTAAATGACACAACAGCATTAGTGAAATATGGAGCATCTCAGCCTGACATTTGATTTGGCAGTTTTCACTGTTAAAATCTGATGCAAAAGTCTCTGTGGATTAGCATGCGTGCACGGACAGATAAGGCAAGGCAGAAAGAGCAGTGATCTGGGCACACCGGAGGTATCAGCGCTTCTTAAAAACGAGGCTGCAAACTGCAGCAGTGTCACAAGGATTAACGTGTGACTGCAGGGTGCTGTCACCCCAATGGTCAGAGCCTTCCCCTTTCAGACATCCTTGCAGAAGGGGAGCTCTTTAGCAGCCCTAAGAAGGATGCTCGCCCAGCAAGGCCCATACACATCCACAGCAAGTTCACATAGTTAATGCAGAGATCTTATTAAATATAACTTGGTTTAGCAGTCTCTCTCTCTTTTTTTTTTTTTTTTTGGTCTGGTGAGCATGGAAAAGAAGATTTCTAAGGAAAAGGGAAAGATGAATAAAATAAGCCTTTGTAGTAAGCCTTACTTTAGAGATAGTAAGAGGTTAAGTTTGCACAGTATCAGATTGGAAGCAGATAAAGCAGTAAAGAGACATGAGAATGGAGAAGATCTTTAATAGTTTTGGTTTTTTTTCTTCTTGTTGTCTGGCTCCTTAACTTAAAACTGACCAATGTTACCTTCCTTTTGTATCAATGACAAAATGTGATAATAAATGTCATGACTTGGGAGTACAGAAAGTACAGCTGTAATGGAACAAGAGGAACACACAAAATGCATCACTTTGGTGGCAAGAGAGAGTGCACCGAAAAGAAATACATATTCAAGCACTTGCATCAAACATTCCCGTGTCTGCACAGTGCCAGGAGCATAATGTAAATCCTTCTGCACTGTCTTATTCCTTAAAGAATTTGCCAGTGAATATCGAGATGAGATGAAAATTTTGAGATCCAGAACTTCTTGATGTGTTTCTTGGAAAATCTGCTCAGTCAGTAGATATTTAAATTTACTTCGTAAATAAGTATTGTGAGTAATAAAGAACATAAATTCTCTGTTTTGGTAGTAAAATGAGGACCAAGGGAAGTGCTGATTTCTGACAGCTTTAGTATGTCAGGAAGCCTCTGTGTTGAATAGAGTACTTAATGTCTTGTTTGGCTTTGGTTGTCCATAGAAATGGCAGTGGTGATCTGGAGGATGATGCACTTAACCCCAGGGACATGCATTTAAGATTTTTTGTCTAGATTAGGAAGAAAAGTTTAGAGAATAATTAGATAAGTTGGATGTTTTCCATTTTGCTGGGCTGATTCATCCCAGGGTACTCGGAGAACACTATCAACCTCGAGCAATTAGCAGTTATCTATGAGAGCTGGTGGAGGATGGGAAAAGGTCAAACGTTTGCCTTCAAAAGGTAGGAGGAAGTGGAAGTTGATAAATCAGCCCCATTGCACTTCTCAGAGAGTCCCAGCAAAAATCAGCAAATAGGAAGCACAAGGAGGAAAACCGTCAAGTCAGGAGTCATCAAATAACATTAAACTAACTTAGTTTTCTTTTATGACATGAAATGCGGTCTGTTGTTAGTAGAGGATCTGTTAATGTAATTTACTGTAATGCAGCTTTGATATAATCTCCGTGAGAATCTAGTGGGTGAAACAAGATCTCAGGAAACACTTACGAGCTGTACTCTGTCAACCTGGATACGCTGAACGGGAGTCTGTCCTGCTCCTAGGACCATCCCGCATGTAATTAAGTACCGTCATGGTTAAATAAACACCACAGCTGAGTAAGACTTGTTCTCTTGATGCTATCAGTTCCCAAGCTGGTTGAAAAACATGTATTCCTAAACTTGTCTTTGTTCACAGATGCTTAAAGGCAACACTGTTGTATTTGGATTTGTTACTTTCTGAGAGTATGGAGGCTGTGATTTGGATTATTGACTGGAAAAGATGAGTTACGAGGAGTGGGAGACAGTCCCAAGACCCTCTTAACACTGGTGTCCTCCTTGTTGGATCTACTGATGGAAGATCCAGGAGATAGATGGGGAGATGAGGGTGACCTTATTCCAACATTTCCCTTCCTTCCTTCTTTTCTTCCCAGATGCCAATGTTCTGATGGAGTTTATTGAATTTGCATCCTCCCTCTGCTGATCTTGAGCTTTATGTTTCCCACGCAGCAGTAAATTTTAGCGGAAAAACACATTTTAATATTGCAGTGACTCAAAATGCCTCAATAAGGCAGTTTTCCATCTGAAGTTCAATGTCTGAACACTAAGAGTGTCTGTTTTCTTCAGGTTTTCATATGTTTTCCTTAAGCTTTCCTGAATAAAAGACTTAGTGGGATAAGTAGAAAGTTTTCTTTCATAAAGGTCTGAGAGGGGCTATCTGAAACTATATTTTCATTCTTGAGTAGTTTTAGGCAGGTAAAATATCCCAGGAACCACTCTCCTGGGATCATTAGGGTATTACTAGCTCCAGCACTCAAGGACAGAAAGTATGTCATGTAGAAATGCAGCCCATATTGCACTTTTAAAATGATGTTATATGTTTTAAGACCACTCTTGAATTATGGCACCTGCTGTTAGACATACATAGGATCCTTGGTGTGTCTTTGAGCCTGAGTAATGACAGCCAAGGTCACAACTTTGCAGGAATTCGCTGTCTAAATCTAGATGTCTGGTGGTAATGCATGTATTTGGCATGATGCTGTAGGGAAGCCATTTCTGGGCACTGTCCAGCCCGGCCAGGAAAAATATTAGTGGTAGCTGGAGGGAAGGCAGTTTAGTTCAGAAAAAAGCAAACCCAACTAAAACCTTCGCTTCTTGTATTTCAGCATTGCATCCGCTGGTGAACCAGGCAGAGGGCAGCAAAGATCCTCGAAGGGCCTCGTCTGCATCGCGAGGGCTGCTGTGGGCAGCGCAGCGCCAGGGGGAGCTGCGGAGGCGCCCGTTTCCCTCCGCTGCACGTTTATTTGCCGTGAATATTGGACTGGTTGATGGTGAGGAGAATCTGCTGTACACAAACACTGAAATTCTAATGCAACACAATGTTCTTGATTCCTGGGGGCTTTGTGAACGTGTCTCTGTGCTGGCTCTCAGAGTAGGTGCATGGAGGTTATTCACGGTGGAGTTGACGTTCTGCCCTCCGATCAGAGGTTTGTATGTGCTCTGCGTTTATAGCCTCTTCCACAGAAGGGAACACAGGGCAATGGGGAGGCTGCCACGTAAATTAATATGTCTTGCATTAATGTTGATTTTTCTCTAGGTGAGATAGTGACATCAGACCGGACCCAGATGTTGTAAAACCAAAGCAGTGTGGAAATTGCATCTATTAGGCTTGGAAGGAGAACATTTGATCCATTTACTTTGCTTCTTTTCTTTATCTGCTGTTAAATACTGCCAAGCGAGAGGGGAGAACTGTGCTATAAGTTTTTTTTTTTTTTTTAAAAAAAACACACACACACAAGAAGTGCTAAATAGAAAAGAATCTGGCTATTATTCATCAGTAGCCTGTTGGTGGTTTTCGTACAGTTTTGTATCTGAGCTTCTGTGTGTGTGTGTGTGTGTGTCAGAGTGGAGGTAAAATCAGTTAAAAATGAAAATTACTTGCTTTTGATCATTTGGTCAAAAAAAGCTTTCCCTCCCTGAATCAGAAAGGCAGAAGATGTCTTCACCGCTCAGCCCAATGTGTTCA